GGAGGTATTGTCATTTTAGAAATGTCTGCATTTCAAAGAAGGAACTATTTGGGATCCCATCACAGCTTAAATTCAGTGTAAGGGGGTGACCTCCCCTGCCCTGCAGTACACTCTGAGAGCACAGGCCCTTGTCGCTCTGCAAGGGTCTGGGGCCCGTCTGCAGAACTAAAAGCTAAAGCAGCTTTCAGGGTGAGGGCCTTTTCTGTGGAAAAAAGCCATCCTCTGGGAAGCGGTTCTACACCTTACCCTTCTAATGCCTTTTTTAAATAAAACACTGCATGACTCCGGAATTGCGTATTACTTTAATTTGCAAGATTTTATATGAATTTCTTGTGTTCGGTTTTTAACTTTACTTCAGGGTGTTTTATTGGTCAGATATGCTACTGTATTAACTTCTGTTTTGTTTTGTTTTAATTTTTCAAGTTTCTGTTTTTACTGCTAATTAACTCGGTTTGTGTTAAGTAAAAGTTAAATCACACACTGCAAGCTGTAGGAAGACTTGTTCTAGAAATACCCAGTGCTAGAGACTTGATTAATAAGTTTGAACTGTTACTGTTTAACAATTTGTAGACTTGTGGCTTTTTTTTGCTTTGGGTTTCTATGCTACACTAGTTTGCCATGTAGCAATTGCACTGTGCAATATTACAATATGAGGACTGGGAAAATTTTTTATGGATGTAATGTCTCTTACAGTTTGCGATAGTATTTCTTTCTAGTTCTCAGTGATTTAAATGTGACCAAGCCTTCTGTACTTTGTCACAAAAAGCGGGTTTTCCAGGTGACTATTTTGGTGAGTGTCAAAATAAGAATTTATGGTGTATTACTGTCAAGATTCACTTTGAATTAAAATATATATTGCAGCAGATGACTTTTGGTGGCTTTCATTCTTTGCTGTGTCACGTCAAGGCTGGACTAAGGTAAAAGTGATGAAAATTCACAGGGAGGGCTCTCAAATTCTGATCTAATCATCTGACTAAGCTGCTCTTCTTTCAGAAAGCTTAAATTTTACTAGTTTTCAAGGCTTGCTTAGGAGGAGCTTGAGATTCTGCCTGTAGCATAGCCGAACCTTGAAGGTTCTTTGTCCTGAATGTCCCACTTTTATAACCCTTAGAAAAAGGTTGTCCGGCCCAGGTACCAGCAGATACATCGCTGCTGCCGAAGGTCATACCAGCCCTGTGGCAACTGCTGCATGGCCAGCAGGAAGGTGCCCCACTGCCAGAGATGCTCCTGGGCGGTGGATGGCTCCACATGGCCTGGTCTGGACCGATGTCTGCGCAGGCATGTTTGGTGGTGCTGCTCCCAGCCAAGTGTGCTTGTTCTGCCGTGGGCTTACAGCGCTGACTGAAATCCAGTGTTTCGGAAGCTGTCACGGAGCGGGCTGCTGGGGACATGTGTTTCTGACGTTGCGTGGTTTCTGTGCTTCACATCGTATTTGAGGCTCTGTCACAGAGGAAAAGTAAAAAACCGAAATGACAGTGCAACGTACTTTTGATAGCAGAATACTTCAGAACTGGCAGAAGGCTTTACTTTGCTAAATACGAGGTGCCGCAGACGCTGATCTTCCGCAGCTGCTTGCTCAGCAATGCGAGTTGGTCATGCTCTCTGCAGAGCTTTTCCTGAAGCACTGGACCTTAGGCTGCATAAAAACACATCTGTCCACATTCTACAGACACCTCTGCCACTATGAGAGCAGCTTCCTTTTCGTTCCTCTCAGTCGCATGTATCACTGGCTTTTAAATGCATGTTGATGTTGGTACCTGTATCCCACGTTTCCCCTAGCAAACAGGCCAGTGTGAAGTACACTTGGTGTTCTTTACACTCTGGCTTTGGCAGCATCTGACAAACAAGGCAGCCCGAGCCTTTTGGAGGGAATACGCTGCCTGTGAAGTCCTTTTTGTTCTCCCTGCCTGTTAGTAATGATGGCTGAGTGTCTCCTACGCTCTTTCCCATCCTGTGGAAGGATAGGACTAAACCAGACAACTGTAAATAATCTTGTCTCAGTGGCCTTTGGTGAGTATTCTTCCTGTCATGAAATGTGAAAGACAAATTTACACTGCAGTTATGATAGCAGATTCATTCGAGGAAAAGCGCTTGGAGTCCATGGGGCTGTCGCATGCAGCAGATCTGCAGCAGGACAAACGGGTTCAGGATGATGCTCTCTTTTCTCAATGAATCCAGTTTAGGCTTTTGGCTGGAGAGATGACAAATGTCTGGGAGGCAACAGAGAAGCCGCTGGCTGGTGTCCCTCACAAGGCAGCCCAGTCCCGACTGTCCCGGTTATTCATATTAATCACCACAGCTCACGTGTGCTGTGGTCCAGCTCCTGCCATGAGTTGAGGCAGCGCGAGTCAAGGATTTGGTGGGACTGTGCGCTACTGCTGGTCCCTGCTTTGAGAGCTGTTAACTTCCCCACAGGCCTATGATAATGTTCAGTGTGCATGTCTTACGTGGCACAGAGCTCTGGGCAGCACAAAGAAATGCTGTAGCCCCTTCCTCCCTCTTCCCACACGGAATGACACAGCGACTGAAATGACTGTGCAGGAAGGTGCATGAAATTATGGACAAGGTTTGGGGGTGGTCAATGATATCTTCCTACCTTTCACCTGTAAGAAGGTGTGTTTTATCTTGCAGGCAGTGGGTACATGCTCTGGGCAGATTCATGTAATTCTAGCTGACCCTGTCTTGGGAAGCAGCACTGAGTATTCTTTGTTAGAATGATGAAACTTCATGCTGAGAGGCTGAAACACACATCTGAATGGATTCTTGTCCTTACATCCTGAAGTAGCAGGTTACGAGCACCCACACCCTGCTGGCAGAGGTGCCTGGAGGCTGCGCTCTGTGGCCGTTTATTCAAAATGGGGAAGGCTGACTGTGTCAAAGGGGGAGAGCACGGCCTGCTGCCTGCTTCACGGGCAATCACAGAGTCGGCCAGCGTGGAAAAGACCTGTAAGATCGTCAAGTCCAGCCATTCCCAGCCCTGCCACGTGCACCACTAAACCGTGTCACCAAAAGCCTCACCTACACGGTGTTTGAACACTTGTAGGGGTGGTGATGAGATGCTGCATTGCCACTTCACTCCCTCTTCACTCTCATTTATGGGTTCCGTCATGAAGACAAGGCTCGATGGCTGGGGCAG